TCAAATAATTCAAAATGAAATTTCTTACTGATACTACTTAAATTTAAAAAGCGCATTATCAAATAACCCAAACACAAATAAAAAATCCTTCACATTCTAAATTCATCAAACTCACAATAAAAGATCTTTACTTTTTCAAAGTTTTTTTTTTTCATATATTTCTATGTGTATGTATTTGCTTTAATGATGTCTTTTTTTTTATTATTATTTTGACTTTAGTCGAAGATGATATTTTATAAATATTACAGTTTTAGTTAAACATAAATTCTAAGAGAAAAAGATCAGAAAGAATTTAATTGTGTGGGTTTTAACGTATGACCGTATATATTCTTGATTTTTCGATTAACATTAGAGGGATTGTAGTGTTCATATAAATAAATTATAATTCATCCTATTCATTTAATATTTGAAAATTTCTAGACCGGTATCCATCTTCTCATAAAAAGAAACGAATCAATGATGGTTCAACGTTACGGATTTTTCAACACGATTAAACTTTACAATTCTTCTAGTTGGTAGAATCAATTTGACTAACATGTATTTAATATATGTTAGTCAAAAAGTGGGAAAATTATAATTTATTATTATATTAATTTTGAAAATTTAAGAAAGAGAGACTGGTAGTAGGCATACATGCGAGTAGTTCATGTTGGACTTTCATTTTTTAAATTAAATTGCAACTATACATTCTACGAAAATCACAATCGTTATTAACCTTTCAACCATATAAAAAATATTATTAAATTTTTTTATTAAAAATTGATTTTTAGCAAAATAAAAACGGTTAATTATATTCTCACCCCCAGATATCCCTAACTTGTTCGATTGTATAACATATTTTTGTGCAAAATTCGATAGAGGACGTAAAAAAATATATAAATAAATAACTTATTTCCCTCACGTATAACGAGTTTTTTGGGGACAAAACTGATTATCTTTGCCCAACATGAGCTATACAAAAATAAAAAAAGTTTAGATCCTTCTTCATTGCTATTAAAATATAATAGGGGTTTGAATATAATTATCGTTGGTGCAGCCTTCGTGGAAGATGAGTGTGTTTTCCTCGTGGCCCCCTTCAAATTCTTCCTTACGCATCAACAACCCTTCTCGACCTATTCGTATACATTTCTTTGCCCTTGAGATGCGGGCTGTTTTTCTCTCTTGATGAAAAGTGGCCTACTTTGGAGGTTTATTGTTAGCTGCAGGGTGTGGTTTTGCTATGCGATGTAACAGCTTAATGTAAGTCCTCTTTTGCTTATATTTTCGTAAGATGGTTACTTTATTATCTGTCTGTATTGCTAAAGAGTGAATTATTTTGATGGGTTTTGGTGATTAGGGTTTTTTATTTTGATTTTTGTGTTAATTGATGCTTTCTGTGGATTAATTTTAGGGAAAATTGAATTATATTTGCGTAATTACTAATTTGTGTGGATAATTTTATTTATATTTGGAGAATCTTGTTGTTTTAAATTGATAATCTAGATTTAAATAGTAAGGAAGAGTTAGATATGCTGTGGAGATTTAAATGAAAGGTGTCTTTCTGGGTTTAAAAATATTTGTAAATTTAAGTGTTTTGAAATCTTGCTAAATAACATTTTACAGTGACTGAAATTTGTATACAAAGTGAATAGGTTTGCGGTTTTGATCCGAAGAGTTCTGTTTTTAACAAATGGTGGAGGGGAATTTATCATCCGGAAATATGTTGCAAGGTAATAGTTCTCATGGAGGTTTTAATTTGCAAGGACCGGTACGAGTTCATCATCATCAGCAACACCCCCTTGCACTCCATCAACAACATAATTCTCATCCTCGACAAGGATCATCAATGGTTCGTCCCTCGAGTCATGAGAATTTTTCACTTACAATTGGAAACACACAAGATTGTGAACAGACAATTTCCTTTACGGACTACAGCAAAGAGGAGAGGGTAAAACCTGCAAGTGATGAGGATGAGCCAAGTTTTACGGAAGATCCAACTGGAGGAAAGAAGGCATCCCGATGGCAACGTGTGAAATGGACCGACACTATGGTTAGGTTGTTGATAACGTCTGTTTCTTACATTAGTGAGGAGGCAGCCACTGAATATGGTTGTAGTGTTGGGAGAAGGAAATATGCAAATTTACATAAAAAGGGGAAGTGGAAATCAGTTTCGAAAGTCATGGCTGAAAGGGGCCATTTTGTTTCACCTCAACAATGCGAAGATAAATTTAATGACCTTAACAAAAGGTATAAAAGACTTAACGAGATCCTCGGGAGAGGAACTTCTTGTGAGGTTGTTGAGAATCCAACACTTTTAGATATGATGGATCACATCTCTGATAAAGCAAAGGAGGAAGTTCGAAAGATTCTAAACTCAAAACATTTGCACTATGAAGAGATGTGTTCATATCATAATGGAAACCGACTGCACCTTCCCCCAGATCCTGATCTGCAGCGTTCTTTGCGCTTAGCACTTAGAAGTGGAGATGATAATGATGTGAAAAGGCACCTGCAGGATGATAATGTCGAAGTTGATCAAGAAGCTGAATCAGATGGTGACGATGAATATGAAGAAAATCATGGTTTCTGTGGGGATCTTAGGGTAGAGGGAATACCAGGAAACTCGACGAAGAGGCTAAAGCAATGTCCGGGTCATGAAGAATTTAGTTTCGGAAGTTCTCTGAACTCTCTAGATTGCCACAAAAGTTTTAATTTCCAGCCAGAAATTCCCGATGCTGATGTGAGTCAAGCGCTACCTGAAGGCATGAAAGCGAACATGTCAAAAAAGCAGTGGCTGAATTATCGCACTCTACAATTAGAAGAACAAAGGCTACATATTGAAGCACAAATGTTGGAATTCGAGAAAGAGCGGTTCAAATGGCAGAGATTTTGCAAGAAAAAGGACAGAGAATTGGAGATGACGAAGATGGAAATTGAGAGGATGAAACTTGAGAATGAACATATGTGTTTAGAGTTAAGACGGAGGGAGATGGGTATTGACAGCAGTTAACAGCCTCCTATAGTGAGTGCTAACCTTAGCTTGATGGGTATCGCAACTATGATTTTTAAATAAAATGGAGCCTCCAATCATAATTATTAATTTTTCAAGATAAAATCGATTAGTTTGTAGCTTGTTCAAATAATAGAATTATGACTAGTTCCAAAAAGTTAATTTTATGTATAACTTTACTACTTATTTCGAAATTTACCGGTACAAATAAGGAAATGTTGCACTTTTTAGCACATTTGACGGATCTCAAATAATCTCGATTTTACTTTTATAGATCTTGGTTTGGGTGCCTTATCGTCCAAATATTGCAGACTTTGGAGAAGGACTTGAAGCAAGGGACGAGAGTGGACTTCTCCAATCCTACCATTAAAGGATGAATCCCTTCTCAAGACAGCTGACTTAAGATGAAAGCGCTCAATTTAGCTTTGTACCTCTACCGTGCATCACCGGTGGGGGCACTATTACGGAGCAAGGGGGATGATAAGTCACATGAGTCTGAAGGGAAATGAGGGGATGTAGAAATAAACTATAATAAAAATATAATTCTAGATGCGTTAAAGTAGTGGTGGAAAAAATGATCAAACAGAATCAGAACTAAACCAAATCGAGCGATTCGGTTAATAATAATAATGGTTCTGATTTGTAGAATTGAGAACTGTTCGATTCGGTTCTGTTCGGTTCGATTCGATTATAGTTCTAGAACCAAAAACTAAACTCAATATTTAAATTTTATTATTATTATTATTAAACATTGTATTAAATAGCATAATACTAGGATTTGCTAAATCAAATTAGACTTACCAAGAGTTATTGTAATTATACAATTTTCAAATTGTATTCACCTTCTTCAACGGGTAATATTGTACTACGAGAATCATAATACAGACAGCTTTAAAATAACAAATGTAAACTTAGACAACGCAAGAAAATAAAACAAGAATCAAACAATTCAACTTCCATTATTGTATGAACATACTTGAGGTTAGCCCATTAAACAAAAGTCATCTAAATGAACAAATTAATGAATCACAATTGACACCAAAAAATTCAAAATTCAATTGAAAATCAAAATAAGAAGGTCTCATTTCTCAATATGGAAGCTGAAGACACTAATTCATTTTGGAGACCCAAACCATAACTACATGAACTCTCGCATGGAGACCAACAACTACCGTCTGCTATTTATCGTCGCGCTCAACTACTAGCGTCGCATGGATTTTTGAAATTCAAGTCTCATCTTTTGATTCTTCTTCCTCAAATGTTCTTTTTTTATCAGTAATAAAACTAGAACCAAACCAATCCAAATCAAACTAGAAGCAAATGATTTGATTCCGGTTTGGTTCTATATCTTAAAAAAAAAAAGGCATTTGGTTCCATTATTTTAAAAAAAAAAAATTACTTGTTTTAAGTCCACCCCTAAGTTGAAATAGTAATTTTAAGTCCTTGTTTGATGGTATTTTTGATTTTTGGGAGGATGTATAGTTAAAAAGTCGGGAAATTTTTTAGATTTATGTGCTGAATATTTTATTGTGTAAATATATAGTTAAAAGTAAATATGTAGAAAAAAAGTTTTTAAAATAATGGTTGTCTAACATGTGCTAAAGGACATAATACAATGGTGGTCTGGTTCAAAAAGGTCAAAGTTCAGCTCATCAATGTTATCGAGCCCAAAATAAGTGGGCTGGAGTTCAAAATAATCTGCCCATGATTTACTTTTGGATTCAGCCTCCTCCATCGAGACCAGGAAGCCTTTGCTTTACTCAATTGCCATTCTGATTCCATAATCGGCTCTCCGGGGTGTCTTAGAGCCTGGTTAAGGTACGTGATTAAAATTAATTATTAATTTTGATAATAATTTTTTAGTAACTTTTTAAACTTTCCCAATCAAGCACTTAATCTTTATGAAAGTGATAAACTGGAAGCTTATCCATTTGTGATGCAAAGTTGACATTATATATTTTAGGGTAAATTATACATTTATCCCCAAGCTTTCATTTCCATTGCATCTTTGTCCCCAACCTTCTAATTGTAACAGTTTTGTCACCAACCTTCCATTTATCACAGTTTTGTCCCCAGCCTTTGATTAATTGGGAGGGGCTGTCATTTTAAGGCACGTGGAATCTCAAGTTTAAACATGGGATTTTCGTTTGCTTAATTTTGGTTCAATAAATGGTCCCATCAAATGTGACTTTTAGAAGGAAAAAAAAAAGAAAAAATAAATAAAAATAAATCGAACTTCAATAAGATAGTCTTATATGATCATATATGCACATGTGGTAGAATCAAAAATTTAAATCATGATACCTCGAATCTTAAATTATTCAAATCATGACACGTGGACATTCGAAGTAAGAGATAAACAAAATGGACCTATAATATTAATGTGTCATGATTTGGTAGTTCAAGATTTAGGTGTCATGATCTAAATGATCGGTCTTATCACATGTGCATGTATAACCGTCTTACAAAAATATTTCTCTTGAAAAACACTGTCGTTTTTGTGGACCTTCGGCTTCAATTTACATTTTTACAATTTTGCAAATTCCTTTATTTTCACGTTGTGTCTTTGAATTTGGAGACTAAAATTGTAAGTAAATATCGTCAAGATTAGATTCATTATTCTTCTGTAACTTTTTTCTTTGGAACTTGTTTTAACATGCACCCCAAACCCTACCCTTCAGAATTAGGGATAACAAAAAAATCAGACAAATTCGATACCCACGAGGCCCTACGTCGAACGGGAAGGGGAAACCCGCTTAAACGGGTAAGGGGATGGAAAATTTTGTCCCATGGCGGGTTTGGGGCTGGGACGGGTAACGGGGTCCTCACCTCGTTAAATTTTTTTTTTTTTTTGGAATTGAATACTTTAAATTAAAATTTTCATTAGTTCTAATAACCTGTCCCACCCTGTTAATTTTTTTTTTTAGAATTCAATACTTTAAATGAAAATTTTCATTAGTTCTAATAGAAAATAGCAACTAAAATTATTTGTCTAAATCTAATGAATATGGACAATAAAAATAAATTATTAAAAACTAAAAAAAAAAAAAATTTAATGGAGAAATGACCCGCCCCATCTTAAACGGGTAACGGGGCGGGGAATTTCTTAGCGGAGAGGGCTCCCCGTCCCGTCCCGTTGTCATCCCTATTCAGAATCAAGGATAAATCCCTTTTTTACGTTAAAGGTTGGAACTCGACCCTTCCTACAAGATTTAGAAAAACTGAATTAATCTTTAAAAATTTTTGAACTACGATACCAAATTCAGTCTTGGAATTTCATTTTAATCGCGCGAGAAAGAATAGTCCAAACTTTTTGTAAGTTAATTATTACTAATATAAATAACAGGTGAATATTACTCTTGAGAGCATCTTTTCTCCCGTCTCTATTCCCTTGTTAGTTTGATGCCCTTTTCGAATGGTATTTTAGAAAACGACATTATGAATTAATGTTTGATTATTCACGTGTTACAATTTGAAATAATTATCTAAAGTTCCATGATCATATAGGATGCCACAAATTATATACTCGATGGTTCAAGTATAATGAAACACAATTCGTGAAGTTATCAAAATATGTCGTTCACAATCAGTACATAAGGTTGGATGATTTATGTTGATAAGATTACATCATTCCTATTGAGATTTGTCTAAATTTGGAAATAAGAACAATAAAGTGTCTTTGATGCACACTGAACGGGACCACGTAAATGACTAATTTGTGACCACTCGAAATGAGATTCTACTCGATTATCAAATAAGTCACATAAATCCTAAGCGAGCAGTATACCTTTGATTGCTGTTTCAAATTCTTTTAGGTACCAATAAGAGGCGTTTTAATTAGAAGATTGATCTCGGTGCTTTAAAAATCAGGGCTGAAACAACTAGAGATCATATACTTGCAATGGTGAAATCCTTTAATCATCATGATGAGACAATCGTCACTCTAAGGTATTTTCTATAGGTAATTAAACATGACCTCAGCAATCCGACTATGAGATTGTTGGACTCTATGCTGTGATTTGATCAAAATGAATTCTCCTTATGAGACTTAGAGGGTAATACACGTTGAAGGGTAAAACGGTCATTTTATCTATTTAACATATTGACGGTCAAATGGGGATTGACTTGTCGAGCGATAAACTAATGATATTGTTATCGAATCATAATTTGCTTCCATCACTATCACTCGACTCGATAGTGCAATCCTGATTTTTTGGTAAAATAAGTCGGGATTAATAGGTGTATCTTAATTGGTCAAGAATTGACCCAATTAGAAACATCTATTGGAGCTCGAGTCTTGTGAGTTCAGTTAGGTTTAGGGGTGTCCAAAAGTCCCGAACCGAACCGGACCGAACCGAACCCGAACCGAACCGAACCGAAC